AGAGCTTGTGAATTTTGGGAAGGCTGATGGGATCTTGTAATAGGGGTCAAACATATCTCAGTTGAAAGTTAACGGGAGCTTAAGGTCAGGCATACTACGACTGGTCAGTCTGCGAACTTGTGGATGTCAATTGAGCCGGGCACACGCATACCCTGAGGAGCTCTGTCCGGCGATGAAGATCTTTGCCTCCGATGAAAGCCGTTCATTTAACCTTTAGAGGGGGGCTGACAAATTTCCTTCCGCCGGCCCAGGGCAGCCGGCCAGTGTGTGGAGAGGACATGTTTCTCTCCCTCGGACTGGGGATAAGCCCTCTCCCGGGCCAACCACCGCTCATAGAGAGTGGGAGGAGCCGGCCGGGGACTGTGAGGTGTGTCTACTCAGCAGGTTTACAAGGGAGGGAGCGAGTTGTTTGAAGGAGAGATTTTCTCTTAAGGCGAGGCAGAGATGTGGGACAGGCTTCCCCATAGCATCCGTTGAGGCGCTCCTGGTCCAGGATGGGAGGGAGGGAGAAAGGGGGAGGCAGGGAGGGAGAGGGACTGGAGAGCAGCGCTTTGGCAGGTGGGTGTGAGCTGCCAGTCACCCTCGCTGTGGTCTGTGGTCGCACCACTTGTTATTAACTTTGCACAGAAGCTCCTTTGAAGAGGCGGCACCCACTCGGGGAGCCTTTCCTGCTTCTGATGGGGAACGGGAGGTGTCGCTGTGGCGCCCCAGGGGTGGCCTGGTCACGGGATGAGTGTGGTGGAGCGATGGGGTCTTAAAGTCAACATTTTACAGCTTCTGGCAACAGTGGGTCTAGGTTCCCATGAGCAAGTGTGAACATCCGTGGACCCACTGAGGAGCCCATCGCTGGGTGTGCAGGATGGGCACCCCCCCCCCCCGTCCCCAGGGCAGGGCAGGGCGGGGCGGGGAGGTGGGAGGAAAAGGTGAAGCACAAAGTCCTCCTAGACCCAGACAATAGCCTGGTGATTCCCAGAGGGAAGGGGGGAGGCGGTAGCAGAGGGGAAAGGGGGGACAATGGTGAGGGAAGGAGACTGGGCTTGGGGTGTGAACACACAGTACAACATACAGATGATGTGCTGTGGAGTCATACACCTGAGACCTGTATAATTTTATTAACCAATGTTACCCCAATAGATGCAATAAAATTTTAAAAATAATAAAATAAATCAGAAAAATAAAGTACACAGAGCACCTATCAACAATCTTTCTTATTAAAAATAAGATGAGCCCTCACTGGTGTGGCTCAGAGGACAGAGCGTCGGCCTGTGGACCAAAG